ATATATGAAAGGAATCCTACTAGTTTATAATGTAAGATTAAAAATAACAGCTTTTAGTGACTGAACAAGAGCTGCAGCTAAATCATAATGAAGATATACATAGCATTAAGGTAAAAAATGATATGCAGTGTTATCTTCATTTTAGATGTCAAAAGGGTTTTGCGGCTCCCGGTGTTTTCTTTTGTGTGGGAAACGGGTCCAAATGATTCTTTGAGTGTTAATGGTTGCCGACCCCTGCCCTAGACAGAGGCAGCAACAGACAGCAAGCCCAGGTCAATGAAGAATTACCATCAGAGAAGGCATGAGTATGAGGACAGAATGTGCATACCCCTCTATCTCCTCATGATCATGGTGGTATTCTGGCCTTTTCCATGACACAAGTCTAATCTCCATTTGGGGTAGCAACTTAGGTGTTGGTGATGACCTATAAAGCCCTTAACGGCTTGGGTCCTGGTTACCTGAAGGAGCGCTTACGTCCATATATGCCCGCCCGCCCCTTGAGATCAGCGGGAGAGGCCCTTCTTCGGGAACCCTCCGTGAAGGAAATTGGGAGGGTGAGTACTCGGAGGAGGGCTTTCTCTGCGGTGGCGCCCAATCTATGGAATGCGCTCCCCAGAGAGGTCCGCCTGGTGCCGTCGTTTTTCGGCGCCAGGCGAAGACTTTTTTATTCAAATGTTATTTTAATTGTTAATATTATTTATTCATTTTATTCTTTGGCCAGGGCGACTTAATTTATATTGTTAATTTATATAGTTTTATTGCATTCTATTTATTTATGGTTTGTGAGCTGCCCCGAGGCTTCGGCGAATGGGGCGGCATAGAAGTCCCCGAAAGAAAACAAGCAAACTGATTTGCATACATTTGCAGGTGCCAATTCATATGCTTAGATTCAAATTCAGAAATAATTCCTATAATATCAGTAGAAATGTGTTTTGACTGAAAGAAGGTTTGAGTCAGCTTAGTGGAGAAAGGTCAGGGTCAGAAGGACAGGTAAGGTTCTGCCATATGGTCAACAGTTTTTTCCCACTCCCCACAATTCATTGTTGATCGCTATTTCTCTGTTGAAAAGATTTTTATACCAATCTTCAGCCAAGGCTCACAGAGTAGTTTATAGAGATTAGAAATAAGGCTGTCCCCACCTGCAGGGTTGCCATCTAAAAGGCGACACAAAAGGAAAGGGCACTGGGAAGGAGGAGGAAAACAACAAATTCAGGCACAAGATTTTTAGCTTCAATGTTCTGGGGTCATGGAGATGAACCTAAACACAATTGGAAGAGCTGCTGCTTTCTCCTCTTATGGTGGTCTCACCAATAGCAATAAGTCATACATTCACATTTATGACACATAAATAGAGTTCTGGTTGTGAGCAAAGCTGAATGGTGGGAAGTCTGGGTTACCCTGTCACGGTCTCATGTGATGCTGTAATGAAATTTCCTGTGTTATACTGTTATATGGTCTGTGATCTTATATGGTGAATACTATATATGCATTTTAAATAAAATACTCTCATAGTTGTTATTAGGTGCTATAATGATCAACAGCAGCTCTATTCTCACTTTTGAGCTTGAGTTCTCAGTTCTGAGGTGAACTATCAGAAGGATAGTTCATAAGACTGCAGAGCTTTCTATATGACCTGGTTCATGCAACATGTCTTGACTGAGCCATAAACGTTTCAGGTTGACTCAGGAAGCTACTAACTTAGCCACTGGCTACACAAATCATTCCCAGTCCTAGGCTCAGGGATTCTATCTGATGGAAAAGGTGAAATATTCCAGTCAATTTTTGTGTATGAGGCAGACTGGAATTAGGTTTGATCAATGAATGCCATTGTTTAAAGCACTGTAGCACTTGTGAAGTGTCCTATTTTAAACCACAAAGAAGTATATTGTGTGCTTAAAATAAATGTTGTGCATGCAAAAGAACTGCCTAACTAGCTCTGACACAGATTATTAAAAATAGGTTTTTGCTTACTAAAGTTCTATAGATTCAGCTATCATTGACAAGGAATATCATTATAGTGCTGCATTGATTCTGTCACACTAGCAAAATAAACATTTATATAAATGAAAATACTACTTTGCTAGAAGTATGCTTGTATATAGCATGGTATGTGATTCTCATAATAAAAAGTATAGTTTACAGTGAATAGGAATGTATTTCAAATTAAGTTATGAAAGAAGCAGCCTAGATTTATTAGTTCCTATCTTGCAAATACAGCGTCCAGCGCACTTTTGGATACAAGTCAAGTGTTGCTGAGTATCTTTAGATTAAAGCCATCTTCTTCTGTAAATATGTGGGAGGAACTTGCTGCAGTTTCCTAGGAATGAACTTACCAGGTTTTTTCCTCAGTAAGTTGAATTTTGTCCTCTGTATTTGCTTTCAAAATGGAATAACTTTCTTGGCATTGCTGATGTACACCTTGTTTTGGCTAGCACAACCTTGTATTTTTAGTTGAAGTAGAAATTCAATACTACATGCCAGTGTTGTAATTATTTTTGCTCTGTCTGTCAAGCTAACACCTTATCAGATTTACTCAGGTGATTTTGAAAATGTTTCCTCAAATAACTTCTGTTTTTCACTAACATGCACATGACATATTCTTTCCAAAGATTTTCAGCAATTTAATGCTGAAATGTATTTGCCTGGATACTGTAACATTTGTGCATTATCCTCTACAAGATTGTTGCCAAATACTTATTCTCCAGAAAAGATCATAGGCAGCCAATGAGACACAAACCATCTTTTTCTGCAGCCCTTTACCTGTTAACTAGCAAAGAAGAATCAAGGATCATTCTTAGTCTACCAGGCTACTGAGACATTGATAAACTAGTCATGTGTGCAGTTTGTAAACCTGCCACCCCACATCATGGTTCCCAATCTATAGTTTAGAGGATGAGCCATCTGCTTTTAAGATTACTTTCCCAGCAGAAACATATTGGTAAGAAGCTCTATGACTTTTTAAAACATCTTCCAGTGTAGCACAGAGCTGATCCTGTTGAGAAACACCCGTTTATACATTATTTGTATCCTGGACTGGAGTCAAAATCTTATTTCCATTTACTTGAGCTTGTCTACATTTAGAATTGCACATGAATTCATAGGAAGGTCAATAGCTTTGTTCTTCTAAGAGTCTGTAAAAGCACGTCTGAATAGCACCACAAATATTCTTCTATTCCAAACAAGGAATGTTGTGAGGCTATTGAAAAGGCATTAGAGATATGTAGGGTGCTTCGGTAATCTTCAGTCTCTTAATAGCTAAGAAATCCACACTTGATGTAACACCACTGAATCATGACTACAAAAATAACACAGTTAGCAATCTAGTCCATCTGTCTATTGTAATCAAGTACGATTGCATTGTTTGACTAATCTGAGAAAGACAAAAACTGCAGTCATAACTACTGATATAAGTATGAAAAACTTAAATATATTACCATTTGTTGTATGAAGTGTGGTGTAGTGGTTAAGAGCATGGGACTGGGACTCGGACGATCCGGGTTCGAGTCCCCGCTTGGCCATGGAGCCAACTGGGTGACTTTGGGCCAGTCACAGACTCTCAGCCCAGCCTACCTCACAGGGTTGTTGTTGTGGGGATAAGATGGAGGAGGAGATGTAAGCTGCCTTGAGCCCTTTGTAGGAAAAAGGCAGGATATAAATCGGAAAATAAAAAAAATAAAAATAAAATAAAAAGTCATTTTGGCAGACAATCAAAATGATACTCCCTGTGATAAAATGAATAATAAATAAATCATGGCACTCCAAAATCTACCACATAAGATACTTATGTGCTCCACTTCACCTTGCTTAATGGTGGAGCCATAAGACATTTCAGATGAATACCTATGTAAACTGCAATGTTCTAAGTAGACTTTTCCTGATAAATTGATATAAAATTATAACAATGAATTATGCATTTCTTGGAGGAAAACAGATAATTATAATTTGGAAACTGCCCTAAATAAAATGTTTGGATCCAGAGAAACATAATTCCAGTGGATTCCCATTTAAATCAGTAGGATTTAAATTAGGCATGAATAACTGTTGCAATTGATTTCAGTGGGATGAAGAGTGATTAATTTGCTTTTGACCTACCCTAAAACTAATTTCAGAAAACTTGGCAGTGAGGATCAGGCAGTTAGAGAAGCTAACACATCATTGTCAGCTGTAAGTTAAATTGGTGAGGTAGGGTGTACAGTTCTGGAATGTCTGCTTTAAATAGTGTCCCACTAGCAAGCAAATGAGAAAGTCTGCAAATTGTCCTTAAATAATGAAGGAATGGGAAATTATATATAATAGCATACAATTTGAAGAAGATTGTGTATGCACATATTCGACTGTCCTAATATATGCAACAAATATATGAGGGAATTAAGATTTGTGAATAATGAAGGGAACTAATGCCTCTTCAGGGTCTTCTTTATGTCTTAGTACAAATAATTGTCTGTAAGAATTAGTACTGAAAGAATGAACTAAATGTGTACAGGAAAGCTGAGTTGAAAGTTGGTCTACTTTAGTAAGCACCTGGTGCCTTGTAAAACAGATTGCATTGTTTGTTTACTTTGAAAATTTATATCAAAAGGCAGGTAAGGATACCAAAATAGGAAACCTACTTACATACGTGCAGATGAAGCCCAGCAACCCTTAGGGCAAGTGGCAGCTGGAGCTGAGCATTCTACCTTGCAGGAATGGCAATGTGGAGTTTTTCACTGGTTTTGGTCCTTGGTGTCCTGGCAAGCAGCAAAAGTGAAAGTGCACTTAGAAATCTCCCTAAGTATCACATCTAAGATTAAAATATTTATCCTATGGACCAATTTCTGAAAAGTTAGTGTTAAGAAGATAAGGTGGTTGTCAGAGTAAAATGAGGTGGGGAGAGACCATGTAGGCTAATCTGATCTTCCTCAAGAAAAGGGTTGAAATGAAATAAATCAATTAACCTTTGTGAGATTTTATCAATCCTATTGATGTTACATAAGTTTTTTAAAGTATTTGTTTCATTATAGGAAGAAGAACTGGAGGCTCAGATTTCATTTCTCCAAGGACAACTGAATGAGTTGGAGGCCATGTGCAGATACTGTGCAAAAATGATGAATACACATCTGGGTAAGCAGGTGCTACTGTTCTTAGCTATTATAAAATGTCATGTATACGCTTGCTAAGTAATATTTCCCAGGTGATTCTAAGATGTCTTTTCAACTATAACTCAGGGATTCCCAAACATTTTGGGCAAGTTTGGGAGTTTAAGAAACTGCTTTGGGAACTACCACAAAATGCCTAATCACTGAATTGCCACTTTGGTATCTATCCAGTGTGTCTATGGATCTAGGCTGCATATCATTCAGCAAATACTTTTGCTCCATGTCTACTGCATAGTGCAACATCTCTTTAATAGGAGGTTGGCAAGTTGCACTAATTGCCGGCAGTGCGGTACGGCTAATATTTTTGGTGTTGTTTTTCAACAAGTTTTGGCAATGTCAGCTAGTCACTTGCTTTTGGGAAAAGGTTAATACAAAGATAATGGTTGTACTGGATCAGTTTTTAATATTCAGTGATGGACATGCTCTTTTAAATTACTTGCCTGCTTCATGGAAATTAACAAACAGTCCGTGTAAATAGATTCTCCATGCCCTTTTGACAGCTAGAATGACTGATACTAGGAGAACACCAGAACGCTTATCTCCTATAATGCAATGGACTGAGGGACCTTACAATACTTCTTGTATTTGAACCGATGGCATATAAATGTCATCTTCAAATGGATACCTTTTTTTGTGGGGAGGGATAGTTGGTCTGCTTTTGTTGAAGCCTTATACATGTATATAATTGCTGCATATAGTAGTATGCATATCATATGCTGCATTGCTATGTGCATTGTTTTTTTTTAAATCCATTATCTTCATGCATCTATCTGTGTGTGTGTGTGTAAATTAAATTATAATGGAAGTAAACACCACCTTGGAGACCTCTTCACAGACGCTATGTATGTGTTGGAGACCCCTGACTTAAGTAGTTTATAAATTCAATGCATGAAATGGTTCATGTGGCACCTTTGAATATTCAACTATATAAAGGGAACACTACCAGTAACAGTGACATGGCTGAGGCTCACATGCTAATTTTCCTCCACCCCCACACCCGAAATGGAAATTGTGCCTCACCTTGTAACAGTATACCAAGCCTCTGCATAAATCTTCTTAATGTTGTGTCATCAAAATGTCTAGTCTACCCACTCATAAGAGTACTAGAAATTAGGGTCAGAAGGATTTTCCCCTTCTCTTTAATGACCTAGCTGGACCTGTACTACAGATTCAATTCTATGTTCTCACTTACTCAGTGTGATTTACATAGGATTAGAGGTGGCTTGCAAGCCCAAGGGTAGGGAACCTTATTCATTATGGTTGGGGCAGATTGCCCTCCCAAACCTCAACCGACCAAATGAAGGCCCTACCAGTGACACCACAGGAAAAGTGTTTCCCCTTGATGGGTACCAAGCCAAACTGCTGGCCATAGCTTTTCCAGTTGCTGCTTCAGCCAGAGAGCTGGTCTCTTTTATGCTTTGACTCTCCTTCATGTGGAAGACAGGATGGTGAAGGGCACTCATCCTCTCTAAAATATCCATCCAGCTTTACCCCTGCTTCTTCTTTCTCAGGTGAGAAAGCAATAGTGACACATGCTCACTGAGTGCTTGCGGGAACTGGCTGAGTCCTGGCCTTCTGCAAGTACTAGCACAGTGCGCATTTTCACAGCAAAACTTCTTTGACTGAAGCATTGGATGGAGGACTGAACCTTCACCATTGACATCAGCCCTTGAGTAGGCTTTGCTTGCACATCAGCTTTTCCTAGCTGGGGAATGGCAGTACACAGCAAAGCAGCCTGAGATATTGTAGTGGGCATTCCTTTCCTGTCTCCTCCACCATGCAAGGAATACAGTGCAAGGTTTCAGGTAGGGAGCAGAAGTCACACAGGTCAGATAGTCTGGTGTTCCCCATCCCTGTACTAGCCTGAAACTGATTAAGGATCTTACATGTAGGAAATTAATTAACCTATATGGTCCATTTTAGGCATTTATTGTTACTGTTCATCATGCCCATCCTCATAACTAATATGTAATAATTATATTATTGAAGGTCAAAACATGTTTCAGGTTAGCAGCTCAAATCATCAATTCTACATTTTTGATTTTCAAGTAGTTTTCTATCCACTGAAGTATTGTACTAAACAATAACTAAAACTAAGAATGCATGTTTAGAAACAGTATGATTTTTAGGCTTTACATCTGGAACTGTCTGAATTTTTTTTTACCACTGAAACTTTTGTATCAAGAAAATAGTCAAAGCTCTCTCAAGCATATTCTTATGATCTGGTGTTAGAGCTTTTATCAGCTCTTAGACTTTGGATCAATATGCTTTGCACTAAAAACTGAGTATTTCTAATGGCTTTTTCATGTCAGCTTGCTCTTCTGCCCCTAGCCAAATATTTGGGGAAGTAAGCAGGAACTCTGAATAATATTTTTGTGTTTTGTACCATAAGTTTGAAAGTGCCTTGTGTGGTGTTTGAGAAATCATGTTATGCATTGCTCATATACCAATTCATAGGTACATTCCTCTTTCTGTCCAATCACTTTGAGTCACTGCCTCACATAAACTGGGTGGGAGACAAATGTCAGCATGGTAAATAAGTGCGAGTATGGAAATTATCTACAGCTGTGTCAAGGCTCTCATTTAAGAGAACGTGCTTCAGGATCCTTGTGGGAGCTAAGTGCACCTGGGTCCAGTCTGGAAATCTCCTAGTAACCCAATATATGGCTTTGTTGAATTCTATTTAAGATGCAAGTATAGTGGATTATAAGGCTTCTCCTTAAACTAACATTTGTACATTTGAAGAATGTTTCAGCTAACTGAGTTAGGTTACACGTTGCTCATTCATTATCGGTGCAGAATATCTTAAATTGTGATACAGATCTGGCACAAACATCTCCAAGTTGTTAAGCAGCTGCAGTTCTCTTTCCCCACCTTACGTTCATTAACTTCATCATAATTAACAAAGCTTCCGATTTTTTTTACATACCATATTGTACAATTAGAAAAGTGATTTGTAAAAAAAGTTTCCTTATATCTGTTAGACAACATTATAGTGATTCTACTGAAACATGCCAATTTGTTACCATGGGTTTGATCCAGAGTCAGCCAAGATGATAATTGCATTCCCTGGAATGTGAGGAGGAAAAGATGAGTTAGAGCAGTAATTTTTGTTTGTGTGTTTATACAAAAGCTTCCACGTTAAGTGTTCATCCACTTCTTTTGCTGCACCACACAATGACAACATAATTATATATTTGGGACCCTGCCTCTGTGTTACTATGGAAATGAAAGTGGTGCCTTGAATAATATAAATACAGCATGTGTAAGAATGGTAAATTAGTTCTTCTGATGAAGATTGATAAATGAGATTTTATCTATCAGATTTTGTAGTTCATGCATTGGAATAGGTACAAAGAACCTTGAGATGCTATAATAAATGAGTTACTCTTTAAAGTACCACAAGACTATTTGTTGTGCTGCAACAAACTAGCATAGCTTCTCCACTGGAAATTAATACTAATATGTGTCCCCTGGAATTCAAACCCTAAGGTTTGAATAAGATACATATCATTTGCTGAATAGTGTGGGCAGCAAATTATATCTTTTCCCTTGACATGCTTACTGAATTGTTGATGTCACTCATTCTTACAATGAGTGTCTGTGATTATATCCTAACCTGTGTAAGAATATTACTGGAATCTATCACCAATTGCTAAGTAATTTATTTGAAAACAAAGCCATCTTTTTCTGAGTAGATCAATCCTGAGGTGTGTAGCTGCAGATTTCCTGAAGCAGAATCATTGTTTTCATCTCCTTTTAAACAACATGAGCCATAACTCAAGAACACAATTTCTGACACAGAAGCAGATTTTGCTTGCTATACAAATAATTTATATGTCTCATAATTCATTTGTGTGATTTCAATGCTCATTGTTCCAGAAAAGATGTTCCAAGGCTTTTCTGTGTTTTAACACAACTCATAGAAGTTTTATTGTTATTAAGGCAGAAATTTCAGGCATAGTATCACAATGTGATAAAGGTGAATTCAGATAGGAGGAATGCCTCAAAGCAAACATGTCAGCAGATGGGCATTTTATCATATATATGATATAAAGTTATCAGTACAAATGTAGCCTTGAACTAGGGTGAAATAATATCATTCTTGCCTGTACTGCTGAATTTAAATATCCCATCTGCTGCTGTCCCAGGTGTTCACAATTTTTTTATGATTATATCACTGGATTTTTCACCAGTCAGTGTAATGTTTAATTTGCTATGCTAAATCAGATGGTTACGAAACTTGATTGCAAAGCAATAACTTGCAATATTTAGCCATAATCTACGATATTGTAAGATGTTTGATTAAGAAAGACACAATAGTTTACTGACTGTTTAAGTGGGGGAATAAGATAATGGGGGCCAATGTACCTCTGAAGGTCTAATAGAACATTAGGAGAAGAAGGCCATCCCCTTTAGCCACTAACCTCCCAGCAAGCTATAAAGTGTAATCAAAGGATGTGCTCACACTTGAAAGAGCCTAGGCAAGACTCAGGTTCATAGGAGTTCCCTCTTTTCTTCCAGCCTGAGGCTGGAAGCTGTTTCATTTGTTTTCAATTAGCACCGGAAATATTCTTAATCTTACTTGTGGTTAGAAACAAGCCATGTATCCACTATGAATGAAGTGGCTGTATTTTCCACGTTAGCCATAGCTAGGATTAATAACAGTTTTTCCAGATTCAGATGTGATACTAAATTGCACTTAGCCTCAAGCAGAAGCAGAAGCTTCCAGTCTCCTTCTCACTTGAATGGTGAGGGGAGCACACATGAGCCTGAGGTTTGCATAGACTTACTCTCATGCAGATAAGCCATAGTTTATCAGAGCTGATCTTTACCTAACATGAAGAGGGGGTGTCCTCCCAAAATGCTCTCCTTTATTCCAATTATAACTGCATTTGTGGTGGAAAAGAACACATACAAAGCTTTGATTGAATTATGTAACAGTAATTCAAATTGTATGGATTACCTGATCTGAGTTTGAAGGAAAATAGGACACATGAATGGAGACTTCATGTGAGCAAAACCTGAAAGTTCTTCCACTGACTATCCCTGGGGCCTAAAACTCTGTCTTTGGGCAAAGGGATACCCCTGCAGATCACCAGTTTCACCCACATAGCTAGCAGCTCCCAGCCCCATTCAGAAATTGATTATTTTTTAAAGAAATTCTGAGCCTTAGCTTCTCCTTCTGATTCTTGGAACTGCAGCAGGCTGATCAGCTGTTCTGCTGGCAAGAAGAATAGGGAAAGAGATGCTTCTTGGCCCTGCCAAATCATTTTCTGCCCAGGCGTAGTATCACATGAGGCCTTTCCTCATTATGTGGTGTCCCCTTCCCAGTCTCAGTTCTTTTTCTCCACACTTTGCCTCACTATGGCATCCCCCACCACACCTGGCCTTCTCTTGGTCCTCCCCTTGACTGCTCAATTTTCCAGCTCCGGGCTTCTTGCTTTACTCTTTGTCTTGGTTGCTTTGTTTCTCTCCCATACCACACCACTTCTTGCTCCCTGCCCCTAAGCTTGCTCTTTCTCTCCTACCCCACACCCAATTGCCACACTCTTTCCCCTTCTCCTTTTCCTGTTTTTCACCCCTACACACAGTGCCTTCGCAGGCAGAGGCTGGCAGGGAAGAAGGCAAGGCAGCCATGCCAATGGCTGACCTGGCAGGAGATGAACTGCAAGCATGTTCTTTTCTTTGAAAACTTATGCTCTATTTTGGGTCCGGAAAGGGTATGTATGGATAGGACCGGCAGAGCAATGCTGTGCAGGTCTACTCATGAGTAAAGCTCACCAAGTTCATTCAGAGTATGCATAGGAGTGTAACCTTAGGAAGAATGAATAGGCTGCATGAGTATGCAGACAGCTGTGACTGTAGTAGCAAGAGTGGGTAAGTCACTAACGAGAGGACCGTTTCTCAGCATCGCCAGTTTGTTTCCTGCAAAATGTTTTTTTCCTGCTTTTGTGGAGTCAAATAAATGGTTTTGCTTTGGAGCTCAAACTAGCTTCAGCTTGTACTTAGCTTCTTGGATGAGGCACTTGCCCATTACCAGCAGCCTGACCATAGGGCAGCTCTTACGTGACGAGCACTGTGTGAGCCATTTTCTAATGATGCCTTTCTCAGATTCCCAAATGTGCCCACAGATGCAAAAAGGCAGGAGACCCCTGACCTAGACCTCGGTGAAGCCTACTTGTGAATAGCCACTTGTTTCAGGGTTTAGGGGAGTGTATGTTACATGACCCTGTGAGCACCAAACTTTGCTGTCTGTTTGTTCACTTATATAGAAACTTATTTTCCATTACCTTTGCACTACAGAGTGTGGTTTCCTGTAATACAAACCACAATGCAGAAATAAATCCAGGCATCCAGAAAATACACAATAAAAATAAAGAGGTAGAAACCATAGGGTTTTTTCCCTTTTTTTAATGAAGGTTTAAACAAAACTAACACTTGGAAGACAAAAACCTTCCAGGACACAAACGTCTTCACAAACTGTCAGAAGGCATCCAGAGAGGGACCTACTAGACACTTCAAAAGGCAAAGTATTCCATGGCCTCGGTATCACCACTTCAGTGGACCACAGTGATCAGAATTTTTATCTGGCTGCAGGCAAAGAGCTGTGTTTGTCTTGTACACCTTATAAAACAGCATGATTGGGGAAACCCTAGAAAATGGTGATTCTCTTTTAGTTTTTTTAAAATCTGGGCCCATTTTATTTTATTTTCAGTAACATTCATAAAGGTAGCAGCATATACATTTATGAATGTTGGCATATTGAAAATATAATCCAGATACTTTCTTACAGAATGTTTGCTTTTGGTATTGCAGGAAATATTCAAGAAGTTATCCTGCAGGAACACTTGGAGAAAGAAGATGAAATTCTGGTTTCTTTGGCTGGGTTGAAGCAGGTATCATTTTGTACATAGAAACATAGAAACTGAGCAAGTCAGAAGGGGTCTTCCGGGCCATCTAGTCTGACCCCCGGCTCTAGCCAGCTCTGCTCATGACAATGGTGTTTTTAACACAAATATATAATGAATTATATTTTATGGTTTTTATATTAATGGTGTTATTCAGAATTTGAATCACCTAACTAAGATATATTCATCTGAAAGTTAAACTTGTGAATCATTGAGCCCTTGAGATAGGGAGTCAACCAAAAGATGTCACATTTATTCTAGTCTATTGGTGCTTAAAAACCATGAGCTGCTGTTGCTGAGTATGGTGTAAGTGTAATTTCTGTGTTCATATTTTTTAAAATGACAAGTTGTCTTGTGAGGGCACTGAGGCCTAAAAGGTGGACTCGAAATCTTTTAAAAAGTTAAAAGAGTCTCTAGAACATGTTGGAATTCAGGCACCCTAATCCATCTTCCAGTTTCATCTTGCTGCTCCAAGCTAAAGGAATAATACATCAGAGCACAAGCCATAAATGCATCACAGAAGATAGCAATAATCCTCTAATCTAAAGCACCAAGCATCTGTCCTTGATAAGACATTTGAGTCCCAGCTCAAGTGTTCTCCTGGGAACAGTCCTTGGCCATCTAAGAGGCACCCTCATTTTAACCATTTTTTCTTTCCCTGATGAAGTCCTTTCTGAGCTACTAGAAGCCGCTGTTGATTCTCCCTGTTTCCACAACCAGGAATAGCAGCCGCCTTCTGAGAACTATGTGAAAAACCACCCCCCGCCCCTTTTCCAAACAGTTGCCCTTCCCAGGTTATGTTTGTGTCCATCTGTGCTCCCTTACTTTTTATGTCAGTTTATGCCTGGACTGGCCCTTACCATGAATGATATGACACATAACATAAATAGTCAAATCAATCAGATGACCCCAAAGCCTCAGTCTGCACCAGCAGCTAACAAATATAATCTGATCACATTGTGCCCATCTTCACCAGGACAAGCCCCCAGAACAATGAAAATTGTACATAAAAGGCCTTTGCAGCCCCCAGAAAAAGAAAACTGAGTCCTTGGCATTCCAACAAAGTGGGTGGATGGATGGCATGTCTGACTTCTCCAAAATGTTCCGTTCTGGTACACATTGTGCTTGTACAGCCTCGCATGAATTTTCATCTGGGAAGATCTCACAGGGACTTAGGCACTGCTATCCTTTTCCAGAGACCTTGTGGAGTCTGAGTCTCTTTCCTCCACTGTATACCATCAGCCTCCTTTCCTATCCATCACCCTTCCTACCCCACTCCATTCACTGCCCCAGAAACATGGAAGTGAATTTACAAACACCTGGCCTTAATTCCTAACATTAAAATGTCTTTGTAGCTGGAATAAGGAGCTCTGTTTGTGCTCTCTGTGCCTTTGCAATTTTTCTGTGCTGTGTGGAACTGTAAACCGGTCCTTCTAAAGGGTGCCAATTAGCACACTGTAGCACATGTGACTGCATTAGTAATATCGGGGAAGTTAGATATTTTGCTCTTTAAAATGCATTTGCTGTACTTCATCATTTTAGTCAAAGACTCAGTAGTTTCCTGTCGGTTTTACTGAGAGATACAGTAAATTCTTTATGTAAAATGTTTGAACATACCATGCAAAGAATAAAAAGAGGGCTTGGCTTCAAGTGACAGTCATTAAAATGCAACTGAAGTATGCATTTTTCCTCCTACTTCCTTGGCAAACAGATCAAGGACATTCTGAAAGGTTCCCTGCGTTTCAATCAGAGTCAGCTGGAGGCAGAAGAGAACGAACAGATCACAATAGAAGATGATCACTACTGTTCCAACAATCGAAGCAAGAATGCAAGTGAAACCATGGAAGATCCTTCAGACACAAAGCAACTTATCCCTCCCAAGAAGCAGGTAACATTCCCCAGGGTTATTTTAAAAATGGGGGTTTCATATCTTAAAAATGGAAAAGAAAAGAGAGGCAGTCCTGTGCATGTGTACTTGCAAGCAAATCCCAGTGCGCTCAGTTCAATTTATTCCTAAATGTGTTCTGAACTTATAATTAATGCTTATTTAAAAATGAAATGCTAATTAGTGTTATGTGCTTTGGAAAATAATAAATAGCAAATGCAACTTCAGCTTCCATTAGGTGAAATCTTGTTGGACTAGTTGCACTTAATGTTTGTCATCCTTCATTAAGCCAATCCCCCGCCCCCTCATTTTCCTTTCAGGCAAGAATCTTTGGTTGGCCTAACAATACTATTACCATAATAGAATAAATTACTGAATTTCAAATGCAGCAACATCTCCATACCTTGCTCCCAAGTGTTCATGTATATACAGAAGTCTCTTTTAAGGTCTGATATTCTTAAACAGAAGGAAGTAAATCTGCTGTTGAAACTAGAAGTTCCACAAGTGAAGATGAGGTGTTGCCACTTCTTTGGTGTAGCTTGACTCTTCTTCTTATCTCTGTCTTCTAGCGGTCATTGCACTGTAGCAGATGATCAGCTATGTTGCTTCAATATGTCTGCCCCCAACTATTTTGAACCAGTCCTCCTTTTCAGCTGTTTGTTCTTTCACATCAAACCAGTATGGTAATGTTCTTCTTTGTGAAAAATAATGCACAGTTCCAAAGGTACATAACTCGGTCCAGCTTCGCTGTAGCCAGTACTTGAATTAGGTCCTTTTATTTCATACATATGCAGGTACATGGACTTGACTATATCTGCAAAGTGCCAGAAATAATTTCCACCAATTATCTTAGGAAGTCTGTGTCCTGGCTGTCTGCTTGAGTCATTCCTATTCATCTGATGCAATAAACGTTCTGACTAGACTGATCCTATAATAAAAGAATTCCCTAGATTTTAGGATATTTCAACATTGACTTTATGATGCTATATATCAGAATACTCTGTTGTCGTATCTGGGGGGAAGTGTTCTTTAAGAACTGTGCAACTTCACCTTTTTAGGTGGAATTATTTTCTACCTCAGTACACTAAGTTAGTCAGGATATCTGCCTTTGTTTTCCTTCAGTGTTGCATTTTAATACAAGAGCTAGTAGGGAGGGAGGGAGCATTTCAAAGAATTCTGCCTGATTAATCAGATAGTATCTGTATCTAAGAGAATAAACCAAATAACAAAAATAGAAACTTGAAGGACTGGCCAGTTCCTCCCCTGCCTCATAATCTTGTGTTGTTTAATGAACATTACACCCTGCCCTGCTTTAGTTTTGTCTGTTTAAAAAATGGGATTCATGGTGATTGATGGCTAGTACTTTGTTCTCTGATTTAGTGTTTCTCTGCTCGAAGCTGTCCAGACTGGAATAATGCCAAATCTGCTTATGGGTATAGGAAACAGCCAGTGGGCAGTTTCATGACACAGCAGGAAATCTGCTGTTCTAGAATTTCTGAGTGAAGATGAGTTTTGGGGTAGAAGTAAATGAACCTCCCCTTTCCTTGCCCTTTACAGGTAAAATTATATAGGGTGTTGTGACCCTGCGCACCATGAGGAAGCACATCTCCAGCCAGTGCTTCAGCCAGGGTATAGCTTCAACATTCATGGTTTCTCCTGGCTGCCCTAACTGAAGTCACCTGAGCCACATCTTCCTCAGCAGGGAATTTGAGCAGCACAAGCAAAGTCACTGCAGCTGAAATGGTGGCTAGAGCAGCTCCTCCCAGCACTGACTGGGTCCCTTCCACCTGTATAATTATTGTTATTGCTGCTGCCGCCATCATCAATCATCAGCATCGTTTTTATACCACCCAGTAGCCAAAGCAATAGAGGGAAAGGCATGTATTATTCTGTTCAATTTGTATGCAGAACATGTAATAAGGAAAGCTGTGTTAAGATCAGAAGAAGGAAGAGTGAAAATTGGTAGAAGATAAATTAATAATACAAAATATGCAGATGATACAATATTACTGGCAGAATACAGTAATTAATCGAAATGATTTCTGATGAAAATGAAAAAAGAAAGTGCAAAAGCAGGATTGCATCTGAATAAGAAAGCAAACATCATCACTACAGAAAAAATAGAGAACTTTACTGTCAACTTTACTGCTCATCATTTCTGCCCATTCTAAACATATTCCAACCATCAAGATCATGCCAGGACTCCTTGTTTTTCTAACACCAACCCTACCCTGGTGCACACCCCTAACCCTAATACAGGGCTAAAGTTCCATTGAAAAGAGGGTGATTTTGAAAAAGCCTTCCTTGACTAGCTTTTTCTGCACAGCTCATCATTTCTGACCCTTCTAAACACATTCCAACCATCAAAACTATGCCAGGACACCTCATTTTTGTAATCCTAACCCAGTGATTGTGAACCTTTTAGAAACGGAGTGCCCAAACACCAACCCAAAACCCACTTATTTATCGCAAAGTGCCAACACTGCAATAAAACCTGAAAACTGAGGTTTTAGTTTAGAAAAAACGACTCACAGTCAGTCCAAGCAAATATTATATAAATCCTTGGCAGCTCACTGACCAGCTATGCAAAAGCTTGGACGAGTCGCAGCTAATGAGTCATGGCTTGTGACATCATCACCTGGCGCTGTTACTGCTTTTGGAGCATGTGTATGTGCACTGTCATCCGATGCTCAGCTGCTGGGGCAATGATGGGGAGATTTGACTTGCATGCCAGCAGAGAGGGCTCTGCATGCCCGCTGTAGTATGTGTGCCATAGGTTCGCCACCACTGCTCTAGACTGACAAAAAGATGAAAAAGTGGCTCTCAAGCCTGACCTAACTCTCTAGGAAGCAAAAAAGACAAAACTGAGGCTGTTGTTCTTTAGGCACATCACAAGAAGGCAAGGCTCACTGGAGAAGACAATAATGATAGGGAAAGTTGAAGGCAGAAGACGACAACCAAGTGTGAGATGGTTTGATTCCATGAAGGAAGCCACAGCCTTGAGTTTGCAAGAACTGAGCAGAATAGTCAAGGACAGAACATTTTGAAGGACCTAAGACAGAGCTGAGTCGATAGCATATTACAACAAACTTTTGTCATGATATGTTGTTACCACAAGGATTATAGACTTTCGTGTGCTTATTTTGCAAGTTATGTATGTGTTTGCTATTAATCAGTGATACTTAATTTTACAGCCTGCTGGAAGCCATGGTGAAATCCAGTACTTTGGATCTCAACAGAGTACATTTACTGTGGCAGTCACAGTTTACTTTGAATGACTTTAGCTTTGACCATGTAATGCCATAGGGCATGGTCCTGCCAGCATAAATACTTGCACTGGAAAAATTTAGACTGCAGAACACTAAATATTCATACATAGCATGAAAACCTAGTTATTGAAGTAGTTGAAAGCAGTCCTTTTGCATTTCAGAGAGGTAGGATCCTGTCCTTCATGTTCCTGGACAAGAACTATATAGAGATTCAGATCTCGAGAATTATGTATACATACGAATGCTCACACAAATAGGTGAAGACAAAGGAATCTGACTGGAAGGATGTCAGAAGCTTGATCAGGGTTAGTAAGAAGGCGAAGACAGAAGCTTACAAAGGAGATGGTTAAACTCCTGTTCATATAAAAGAGGTCCAAGGAAGTGAGAATGGTAATCAAATGGCACAGGTCAAAGACTCTCAAGATTTGCATATTGTTTTGTGGGAGTCAGGAAGAGCCATCCCCCTTTCTTAAATTTGTCAGCTGGCAGAGCAAACATGGCAGTCCATCTTAATGTTTCTTCTCACCAACATTCTAAAGAAGCATTATTTGCCACGAAGCTCCAGTTTCCTGTGAAAGCAAGCAGTGGCTTGAGGTGGGAGAGCAAACATGATATCAGGGCCTGACTGTCAAGCAAGGCCAGCTCAGGCTGCCAGATCATTACTGTGAGAAAAATCGAACCACTACTGCCTTTCATTCTTCCCCAGCTCTTCCTCTTCCTCCTTCTGGGGTTTATACAATGATTGTAAATTTTTACACAGTAATCTTGGGAATAAATTCTAATATATTTTTCACATGACTGTATACTGTTAAAGAAAAATTAGAAGATTCAAGTGAACGGTTGAGATAGCCATATTTTTCATGCTTTGCTTTGTTCTGTTTAGATTTAATGGACTGTACAAAAATACTAACTTTGACCCTTTGTCATGAAATGTCAGAAGATAAAAAAGTGCTAAATTCTTAGTCTGTGCAGTTAAGAACTGATTCACACTTTTTGCCAAAAGGACATCACTGCAGCTTTTTACTTTTAATGAGTTCAACAATGACTGTAGGTCAAGCTGGAAAAAATGTCTAAGTGCAGCATAAGCATTTAAAACATTGCCATTAATTAACTGGAACATTGTAGTGTAGCTTATCTATCATTTTGCTGAAGCTGCAATCTTAAACATACTTCCTACAAAGAAAGTTCCACAATTTCAGTGTAACTTATTCTGAGAAAACATATTTGCGCTTGAACTGTGAATGCATTAACAGCCAAAGAATGAACTGTGTTAACTTCCCATTCCTTCTCTGGAGCAGCAGCTATGTGTGGGGCAGCAGCTTTGAGAATTGCTGCATCTACTACCTCTGACAATTTGACTGTCATTTCTTACCTTTAATTCACTTACAGCTGCTTAATGCATGACATCTATTTTCCCCTTGATTACATGTGTTTGTAAAGCCAAGCAATGGTACTTTTCATACATATGTCAATAGACTAAATGTTCAACAGAATAAATTGGCAACAGTATATATGTACAAAACAGACACAACCCAGCATTTTCAAGCTGCATAGATTTCAATGGCAGCATTAAGTACATGCTTAAGGTAAAGGTAAAGGTTTTCTCATGACATTAAAGTCCAGTCAGGTCTGCCTCTTGGGGGCCCTGCTCATCTCCATTTCCTAGCCAAGGGAACCACCATTTGTCTGGAGACAGTCTCCGTGGTCATGTGGCCAGCATGACTAAACACTGAGGTGCACGGAATGCTGTTACCTTCCCACCGAAGTGGTACCTATTTATCTGCTTGCATTTATATGCTTTCGAACTGCAAGGCTGGCAGGAGCTGGGACAAAGCACGGGAGCTCACCCCATCATGCAGATTCAAACTGTCAACCTTTCAATCAACCAGCCCAGCAGCGCAGCAGTTTAAACCACTGCGCCACCCACAGTCCCAAGTACATGCTTTGTAAAGTGGACATGGATTTGTAAAGTGCTTTGAACCTGCCCGAAGTCACACAAACACATGTCTTATTTTCATGTAGGAAAAGTGTCTTGCTTAGAAGCAGCCCTTATCCTTTTCTGTTCAGGACCTGGGTTTCCTCTTGTCCATTTCAAGTGACAGTCTCTCTACAAAAGTACTCTTCATGTCCAATTCACAGCTAACAAACTACTGTCGCAGAAATGTGAGGCTCTGTGCCTGAGCAGTGATTCATTGAACCCAAACTAAAAACTATTTCTGAGAAACCTCCTTTTCAGTAGCCTTGGGCTCTACCTGTCTCAGTGTGCCCCTCTGGAGAAGGGCCAGTCTCCAGATCTATGTGAGCCCTCTAATAGGGTAGTCCTTCTAGTCTGCGGCCTCATCATATGCTTATCCTGCTCCTCTCAATGCCACTCTCCTCCGCCATCTTGATTTCTACACTCCTCATTTCCCAGCTCTCACAGTCCTCATCCAGTTGGTGCCAACTTGACCCTAGAAGCACACTAGAAATAACTGCCTCTTCCATTCACAACATCCTACTGCATCAGGCATTACAGATTTTTTTAGAATGCTTGCCATGGAATACTAGGTAGGAAGGTCCAAACCTGCCCTTTCTTTGTATACCTACTGTGAATATTACATGTCATTTCATACCTAAGGAAAAACAATTGTGAGCATCCAGTGAAAAAGAGAACGTGGGGGAAAGCAGTCATTCAGAATACTCTGTAAGGGTACTTATTTATCTGCTCATCACATGATCTTTTATGTTTGTGGGAATAGGGAGCAGTCAAAATGCAGAGCTGTTGTAATATTTACTGTTACGGTTTGCAGAAAGACAAAAGACCTTTTGTTAAGAAAACTGCATTTCCATCTTAGTAAACCCTCAGTAGAAGTGTAGAGTCGGAGAAGTTCCACCAAGGTGCAGTTTTTCCAATCCTAGTACAACAGCAGTTGAAAAAGCTGACATTCTTTCCCTTACGTGTTGACTAGAAAGATGTGGGCATTGTTTTAACTGCTGTTCAAACAGAGGTATGGCCTCCTGCTTTATTTTTCTTCCATGCTTTGGTTCAAGAGGTTTCTTCCCTCTCTCTTCACTACTTTGCCACTTCTTGGCATCAGCACTAATATCCACCTTCCCTGCCTCCCCTACAGTTAGTCAAGGGTAACTCTACCCTCGGGAGGGGGGTTCTCTAATCCTCCCCCGCCATCTTAGAACATGGATTTTTCTCAAGTTTTGTTTTGTTTTTTTTAAGTAATGCAAATAAGGAGCTTCTTTACTGCTCCCCTGCTATAATAGCTAAGTTCTCCTTTCTGTCCCCTGCCCATCAATGCCCATTCAAGTCCAGCCTTTCCCAGATTGGTACCCTCCAGATGTTTTGAACTTAATCTCCCATCAGGGCCAGCCACCATGACCAATGGTGAGGAATGTTGGGAGTTGTAGTCCAAAAGAATTCTTCAAGCACCAGGTTAGGGAAAGCTGTTTTAATTGATGGCAAACAAGTAAGACATGCATGCACATGGGAAACTTTTGAGTTCATATGATTTCAGTTTACAAATAATGTGTTTTAAGTAGGGCTGCAAGCTTCATAGTTGTAAAATTTTAATGTATACCCATGAAGCTTGTGGCGTATTTTTAAACATATTATTTGGAGGTGTTGCTAGCATTACTGTAGGTGATACTAATAGGTTTCATCCTACTGGCAGACACTCATCAGGAAAAATGTTCTGAGGAACCAGATGGCACTGGGTGTAAGGTTGTTAACTTTCAGAGCGACTGGAAGTATAATTCTGTCATTTTCCATTTATTCAGCAGCAGTGGCAGATGGGAGAAAACATGTTTCATGTCACTATGAGTTTTTCTTAAACTAAAACTGGCAGAGGAAGGAGTGGAGAGATATTTCACCTCTGGAAATACCAGTGTTAGAAAAAAACTTGGGCCTTGCAAAGGATACATATGAATGTGAAACTGGATTAGGAAAATAATTGCCTGTGAACTTAGATTTTGTATTTAAACTGTGCAATGGGGCTACTTTAAAATATATGCTTTGCAATGCTATAGATAGCATCAAATCTTATTAAAAATGTGTTTTGCATTTAACTCACTCAGCACCGCTTCACATGTGCCATTTTCTCCACAAAGAGATAATCTCCTTGTAGTGAAATGACGAGTGCACTGTCACACGTCAAGAATGTACGGATAGCTGTATGTTGAGAAGCCAGTTTTGGTGGGAGGCAGGGTTGCAAATGCACTGAACCACTTAAGTCCTGTGCTTGCTTATGATAAGGAACACCTCCACCCTATCAACCCACTCATCCTTTATGATCTGTAGGAGAGACGCTGCTTAAAGAGCTCCCACCTAGGACCCCCTTTATATGTTCCTATACTGGTGTGCACCTTTACACGGGAGCAATGGTGGAGGCAGAGGCGGCCACGCCTGTAGAGGTATGTGCCAGCTGTGATGAGGAATGCACTAGTCATGGCATAAATGCATGGGATTTTTTCCTGGTGTTCTTGTTTACTGTAAATTCTTCTGTTTTGTAGGCTGCTGCTGACGCAGACGGAAGCTCTGGCAACAGGAACACCGAGGGCTATATCCTGGTTTCCAAAGAGGATGAAGGAAGCCTTTGCATTGCCGCTCGGGATGCGCAGACTGTGCACACCTGCAAGGATGCACCGAGCCATTCATCCTTAGCCTTTTCCGATCCACTGATGGGCTCCAGATCCGCCTCTTCTAGTAACCTCAGTTCCAGCCCCGATGATGACAGCAGCAGCAATAGCAAGGATTCTGACTTTACCATTGTCAGCCCTTTGGAAATTTAGATCTCCCTGTGTGTTCAGCTGTGGCACATAGGCATGTGCATCTGACACTCCACGGGCCTGGGAGACTCATGGTTCTCGACAGCAAAACATTTAGTCAGAGCACCGGCATGGTAATGGCAATCTCTTTAAGCAAAAATTAAACCGTGTGTAATGATTGCCTTGAACACATGTACATGTTAATAGCAAGATCTACTGTATGACTAAAGGTACTCATAGGTTCACTTTGTTAGCCTCTTCTTGGAATATTGAAGTAGTAATTTATAGTCCCACATCATGTAGAATCGATGCTACACTTAATCTCACATGTTCAGCTGAGCATCCTGCACAAATGTGAGGAACGCAAATGAAATTGGCAATCATTTTCTGTTCCCAGCAGAAAAAATAGGGCACTCCTAAAATGCAACTGTTAGAAAAAGCAATGTGCAAGATTCATAGTATCAACATGATTGCCTAGCAGGTGCGAAGACAATGACTGCCCTGCTGAACCATTTCCCTGGGAAAACCCTCAATTCTGCTGCATTGGCATATGACAGAAAACCACTAACTGCTATTCATGCCAGGCAAAATTAGAGCATTCTAGTAAGGTAATATAAATCAAGTGCAAATCTGATGCTTTGAAAACCTCCACTTCAGTCTCCATTAAATATAAATGTGTTTCCTATTGCAGCTGGCTCGGACAAGTGTTCTTGTATGGTGTTGTCTGGCATGTAGTTTCATAACTGTTTGAGGATCTCTGCAATCCCCTCAGGCCAAGAAATAGCATTCATTGAGTGTCATAATACTGTAATATTCATTAACCATGTAAAAACTATTCCCAGATATTTTTAATACATGTTATCCACTTCACCATGCTATTCCCACCAAAGTCAATGCGATTTCTAGTGCTTTTAATCCCAGTGAAGTCATGTTTCACTGAAGACCCTATTTCCCTGACAATATTAGAGTAAGCTAAAAATATTTCTAGAAGCAGCTTATTTGCGTACCATGATGAGGAAAAACAAAGATGAATTTAACTGCCAGTATCCAAGATAAATGCACAGTAAATAATCTTTCAGCCATGAAATGTTTAACACATTAAGAAAGACTTTTCCACTAGGAATGTTGCACATCGTTATTTCTTAGGACCCTTGCTGGTAACATCAACAACACCCACAACAGCAACAAATGGTTATTCCCCTATGCCTGTCTCCTCCCACCCTGGCAACTATTCTGTAGAAAGATGCTGGTGAAAGATATTTTCAAAGGATTATTTTAAAATAAAACACTGTGCTTATGCACTTAATTTTTCCAAAACAGACCCAGTATAACTAAAACCATGTAATGCAGCTGCTTGGTTAGTGCTGGGGTATGAAAATTATGAAGGATGATTAAAACCCATCCATCTGCAGTCTGAGCCATACTAGGTCAGATCATAACCTGACTGGACCAGAGTGCATCCAGGAATCTGGGGACATAACATAGAACTCTCCTTTAAATATGGCTCCAAGTACTTCATGGACCACATGTGTTGGCAACTGAGGGGTTGTGGGCAATCAAGAAACCTCCATTGTACTTTGCCCTGAACTGAGTAAAAATTTATTGGGTACGTTCGCTCTCCCAGAGTTCACTTTTGCTGCTTTTTATTCATGAATGTCTTGAACTGCAGAAGACCAAAATAGCTATCATATTGTGGCAGGTTCACATTGGCCTATTGCTCTGAAGTAATCCTTCATGGGAAGATGCCCCCTGTGCCTTGTAAAAGTGGAAGCGTTAGGAACAGAATGTAAAGCGCTTAACAATATAAACATAAACAGTGTTAAGGGTAAAGTCACTTGGCCATTGATTTGAAAGAAAGTCTTAGAACAGTTTGCAAATAAGTGAGGCAGCTCTGCCAGTTTAAACCTAGCACACCTTCTCATTTAAACTTTCACAGCAAACCCCCTCAGCATTCAGTCTTATGCTCTGTGTGCAGGGTTATTTGTAAGGACACCGAGAAAGAATTACAGGGCTGGTGATTAACTCTGATCCTATAAATATGGCATGCCTTACTCCTTTCTGCCTAGATTTGTCGCTGTTGTGACACAAGAAAAAGTGCCATTTGAAGCAAATCCCTATTTCAAAATGGAAAACCAAGCAAGAGAGAAAATCAGAAGAGGGTAGATCATCTTTTACCACTGAGGGGAGAAAAGCTCGAGTGTTTTGTATTTTTTTATTATCAACTTTGTTGTCGGCTGATTTCAGGGATCATATTGTTTTTCTTGTTAGAGTAGCCTTACTGCCATGGAACAAAGTGATTTTGAGGTAAAATTATTTTTTATTTTTTAATTTTAAATCTTACTGGTTTGAGGGAGGGTTTTTTACACATTTGCTTTAATTCGTATATCTTTACTTCCTGGTTGCCTGTAATTATCTATGATTTCAGAGGATAAATAGTGCTTTACTGATGGAGAAAGACGAAACCTGAGCAATTCCATTAGAGGAGTTAAATCTGATAATACCATGTCCCAGTGTATCTCAATGATATATCCAAGTCTTATTTTGATAAAGCTGGAAGTGTTTGGTTTTGTATACACATCAGTCCAAAAAGATTAGGCCATAATAGCCACATACTGCCTTACATTAGGTTTACTAGAGGGTACTTCCTATTTTAAAGTGCCAGTTTATTCTCTCTTTTGAAGATAACCGGCTCAGATTGTCCAAGGATAATGCTCATCTGATAGAAAATAATATGAAGTATAAATGGCTGATTTGTACTAATGTGTGGGACTCTAAAACATTTTTCAACCTGTTAGAGACTCATCTGATGTTCTCACATCCTTACCATATAACTATTTAAAGTCTTTTGCATGTAATGTCAATCACGTTACTGCAGAATGGTGATAACCTATAGTAACTGGATGTTCAGTTTTTGCTGTGGAAATTTGTATCATTCCTCTATAAGAATGTCTGGCAAACTTTATTAAAGAAATACCCAACATGCACAGGCTTTTAATTTCCTCATGTGTGTTTCTTGCAATGCAAGAATTATCCTTATACATCCTCCCCAGCTTTTGAAAGCAAACCTCCTCCACCTCTTGAGAAATTTGTCACTTAAAAGCTGTGGAAATAGATCAAAGTAATATACCCAGGAAGCAATACACCATCACAATCAACCATTGGTACAGATGCGGGTGTGCAAAAGAAAGTCATATGAATGTGCATGTACAAAAAAGTAAGAGCAAAGAAAAGTTATGTACTTCAGGCGTGCTTTCATGTAGGCATGTATCCTTTCAATACTACTGTGTTGATAAAATTTTCATGCTCTTTCATAGGGGCAGCAATGAAGGAGATACATCAAGCAGAGGCATAACTGAAATGATTGTTTTCTTGGCCCGTGCTCCAGTGCATTTAGGAATGAAGCTGCCTGGCTCTGTTAAATCTTATGGTCCTCAGTGCATGGATGTTTCACTCTTTAATTAGCATAACTTTAAAGCATAGATGGCTTCCTAATAGAAGGAATATTTTAAGATTAATGAAAGTTCAACCACATTTGTGCTATTGAATGGGAGGCTTCAAAGGCTTGTACAAGTGCAAAAATGATTGAATTTGCTTCTTAGAGGAAAAAAGAAACTTCAGATGATCTAGGAAGAGGAATTGAGTAAAATAGTGAAGTCCTAACTACTGAATGTGTAGTTTTCCTTCACAGACCTCTATCAAAGATTACAGTGTGCTAACTATGACTTGAATAGACTGCCTTCATCTATGGCAGAATTTGTGCTGACTTGGAATTATATTTTGTTGATCACAATAACCCTCAAGATACAAGCTTAGGGTGCAGTCTCATTGACATGAGCAGCAGCCTGCAAAGGTGAGTCTCATGTTCATTAAGTGCAGTACAGGAGAGGTGGCAGAGGCAATCTTTGCTTCCCCACTCTGCATTCTCACTTCATGGTGTCCCGAAAATGGAAGGAGGGAGAATGGAGTAGAGTCAGGATGCCTTACATCCTGTACAGCCCCCAAAATATTCCTATTCCCCATCTCCAAGGTTGCTTTCCCAAACTTGGGGAGCAGCTGGTGTGGTTCTTTGTACCCCAGCTGCAATGGGAAGGAGGTGGAGCTCTAATTCGGTAGCACATGTTTACAATTGAGGGTAATGTTGGTTGTATGCCAGGTGCCACAGGCTCCTTAAACCATGAGTCAGAAATCTGAAATTTCATTTTCAGCTTTGCTCCTTTCAAAAGTGGATCTGCAGCACAAGGAGCAACTTGCAGAGACTGTGCAGTTGGAAGAGGTGAACCGTGTCACCAAAAATGTAAAGAATGGTAAAGCTCCAGGCCACAAAATGCTGCAAGGTGCACTTAGGCCTTTTGACTCTTAACCTTTTCTTTCTTTATAATAAGGCTCTTAAACCAGGAATTTTACCCATTTCTTTATACTATGCTTATATTTGATTTATCCCTAAACCTGTGAAAGATCACAACAATTGTGCAGATTGTAGACCAATTTTCTTAATGTGAATACTAAAATATTAACAGCAATTCTGACTAATAGACTTCAGTGTGTGATACATACGTTAGTGCATCCTGATGAAGTGGGTTTCATTTACCAGGGACAGATTGGAGCAAGTTTGATCGCTCTGAATTGTACAGGAAGAGATATCTCTGGATATATCATTGTCATTGACAGATATTATTGGGAGTTTGTATCTGTGGCCTTGCAAAAAAAGGATTTCCACTTATCTTTTTAAGGTGGCATATAATTGTATATGAAAAAATATATTATTTGTATTGTTTTCTTGACATGAATGGAATACAGAGAAAAGGGTGTGTGTGTAAAATAAAGTAAAATAAAATTGCCAGGGGATTTTGAACAAGTACAATCAATACACTCAAGCCCACACATTTCAAAGAGACTGAAAAATCTATCTGTCATTCATTACTCTATGGAAGTTCAGAAAAAGAAATTATTATTGTGTATGCTGACAGATTTTTCAATTGCTTCAGAACAATTATAAATCAACTACTTTTAAAAGAGCTTCCTTTTACATACTATTGTACTGGATATAATACAATTTCCATTTGTCATTAAATTCTTCAGTTGGTCTTCTATTTACATAATTAGTTAATTTTGTCATCACTGTGATCTCTGCCAACTTTTATTTCCAATCTTCAACTGGTGATTCTGGTGTTTTCCATTCAGAGGCAATTCTAATTCTTGCTGCAGTTGTCATTTACTTAAATAACTCTGACATATTCTTTGAAAAAGTCTCTGACATTATATTAAAAAGTATATTCTTAGTATTCATAGGAAACTTGGTTTTAAAGGTTTGTTGTATTTCCACATGTATCAATTTCCAAAATAGAAATTTATACAAAAATGTTGATAAAATCCTTTTGACGTTTTTAGTTTGGAGTGGGGCACAAGACAGGGCTGTCCTCTGTTTCCCTTGATATTTGATTTGTGCTTGGAGCCACAGATGTGTTAAGGCAGAGCAGAGACATTGTTGGTTTTATGCATGGGCAGTCTGAGTATAAAATGGCTTTAACCTACTGCTAAATGCACACTTTGTATAAAGTCTTCCATACAAAAATCTTTCGGGATACAGTATTAATCAAAATCTGAATTAAGGTTTATGTTGACAAGAAAAAGCAGAGAGTGTCCTCTGGGGGTGTACAATCAAAAGAATATTTACAGTTTATTCTAACATACAGGAAATACATGCAGCATGTAGAAGGAACTACAAAGATGCAGTCCATACAATCCATCATGTAGGCAGTTTGCCAGAGACAAATGAGAATAGAATAACAGGGTTGAATATGGTTAAGACACACAATTCAAAGAAGAACCTTCAGGACAGGCAAGTCATTAGCATATTTAGGAGTGTACCTGAGCAGGGCAGGCAAACATTAGCATTTCCAAGGCATGCATTGGCAGCCAGGCTTTCAGATTCTGATGAGAGGAAGAATCCCATCTTAAGTCTAAAAGTGTTCTTACACTGTCAGGCTTTTAGCAGCCATAATATGGCAGAGCTTTCAGTAATGTCTTGACAGTGTAGTAGAAAGATAACCAAAGTAACTTTTAAATAGCCTTATGGCTAATGAGGTGGGTTAGAAATTTAATATATATTAAATAGTTTGCAATGTATGGCTGTGAAAGTTGGACCATAAGAAAGGCTGAGCGCCGAAGAATTGAGGCCTTTGAATTGTGGTGCTGGTGGAGACTCCTGCAAGTCCCTTGGACAGCAAGGCGATCAAACCAGTCAGTCCTAGAGGAGATCAACCCTGACTGCTCTTTAGAAGGTCAGATCCTGAAGATGAAACTCAAATACTTTGGCCACCTAATGAGAAGGAAGGACTCCCTGGAGAAGAGCCTAATGCTGGGAACAATAGATGGCAAAAGAAGAAGGGGACAGCAGAGAATGAGGTGGCTAGATGGAGTCACTGAAGCAGTTGGTGTGAGCTTGAGTGAACTCTGGGGGATGGTGGAGGACAGGAAGGCCTGGAGGAATGTTGTCCATGGGGTCGCGATGGGTCGGACACGACTTCGCGACTAACAACAACAACAACAAATTAGTTGTGTTGGTGTCTAGAAGTGATAAAGTACCTTAGTATATTGATGCCTAGAAATATTTCATGATTAGTTAAACTGAATATAAGCACTTTTCTGGGAGAAATATCTCTTGTCTTGGGAAATACCAGTATCCTTTAAGACAGTATATAGCTTAAGGATAGGATATGTTGTATCTCGCGGTTTTGCAGATGAGACCAGAGACCAGTTGGTAAATTTAAAGAGGAGTTTATTAACCTGCAGGATTACCTGCAGGGACCAACATTCTAGTAAGAATGTGGCCCTGAACAGAGCTGGAATGAGATTTTTATACTTTTACAATCAGCTTTCGGCAAAATGAGGAACAATACAATCAGTCTTTGACAAGAGTGAGAACAATGGCGACAATGGGGAGTTACAGAATCACATAAGCAGCAATTGAGCAAGCGATATACAGAAGCAGATGTGGTTAGCAGTAAGTTTTATCTTTTAATTTACACCTTTTAGGTAATCTTTGCCCATTACGTCTCTGGTAAGCTTTTTCCATTTTCTGAGGGAATTCTCTGAGACAGCTGCTAGACATTTCGATTGAGCTAGAGCCTAGGGGAGCCATGCCTATTATGAATGCCCTGAAACAGCTGATAGATGTTCTAATGCCAGTTGTTATGTTAATCTGGAACCTGGGGATTCAGGCCTAACAGGATATATTTAGTATATATATATAGTCACACAGTTAGCATGCAGTTGCCTGCCTGCATAGCTATACATTGAGTAAGCATGTTAAGTCACCTTTGCTAAGCTAGAAAGGCATAGGCCTGCAGCTGGATGTGTGGCCACATGTGGAAGTGCAGCAGGGGGTTGGATTCAGTGGTCTTATAGGTCCCTTTCAACTCTACTGTTCTTCTATTCTACATCCAAAATGAATATCCTGATAATGTATTATGTGGTATTGTTTTATATATTTTCTTAGCAGGTCTGCAAGAAGATTTTTAATGTGCCTGCATGCACTGTTTTTGATTGAAATTACTTGGCACCTCTTATTGGCTGGAAGGCATTAGGATCTAGATAAAGTAAAAAGAAAAATAATTATTCCACTAAACAATTGTGAGAGAGAATTGGAGTGCAATAGCTCATCAGTTGCCATTTGATTCATGTCCTCATGTTATGGGAAAATCCAGTTCTAAAAATATGATCTTTTATGTCAGGGGTCTCAAACTC